TTTGAGCGGCCCAAAGTGCATATGAAAAGTAAGAGAATATTGGGTTTTGTTCAATCATTTTCAATAGATATTGATGGGAATCTTTGGGCCTTAAGTGTGGTCTAATTCATAAGCCTTCATCAAAAGGCTTTTAGGTCCCTCTCAAATGAGTACTTACATTAGAGTCAAACAATTAAAAGTTATTGAGAAATTTTGAATTTGAATTTTGAGTATGAAGTCGTCGATGAGCGTTTCATTTTTAAAGTCAAATTTACCAACACAAATACAGGATTAGTGGAGCCTTAAAGCAGTATGGAACGTCTAATGTTTGCACATAAAAGACGAATACGTGATCAATTGATGGAATTCAGCACATTTTTGAAATATCCGAAATATGTCTTATGGGCAAAACTTTTTAAAACTTATTTCACAATGAGGATCAACCACGAGATTTTGAATTAGTCAGAGCCTCAGTAGATATCGAGACATTCATGTGAGATCACAGAAGAAAAAAGAAATTAATCTCTAAAGTGTCTTAACACTTTAGTGAAATATTTAAGTAATATATATAATTATATTACTATATATAATAACATTATATTATTATTTTAACAAATTGAATAGTGTTCTCATTACAATAAATTGAGTTTTTTAACCATTGGATTTCACTAGTGCGTGACTTATAATATTTTGTCACTTGTGGCAGGAGCATAGTGACACCTAGTACCACCTTTAGTTCGAGGCGACTGGCTAGGCTTATGCACATCGGAGTGCAAGCACTGCCTTCACTGATAAAACAACGGGCTATATCTGAACATGTAACCTACAACTTGTCAAGTAAAATGAGGCCTTATAACCACCTATAAAAGAAAGCGTAACCGTGACATACCACAACGAGTCTATGCGGGCGACGGCGCCATGATTTCTAGTTATAATTGAAAAATGAAAATCGGGCGCTATACTAGGCCCCTTTGACGATACATAAAAAGAGACATATATGGGCCCCACCTGAGGACAATGACACTTAACTGTCATTAGCGCCAGCACATGACTCTAAGAATACAAATAGTGGTCGAGACGGGGCCCAGGCCTGCCAGATGCTATACAAATGGAAGATTGCACTTGCTACAACCTAACGGCTAGAATGAAAGAAGGCGCCCAGCTGACATTTCACGAGCAGTTTGTCTTGGAGATCTGAACCACTGTCTGTCTAAATGCGTTCAAGTAATGCGACGCAGGGCTGTCGGTATAATATGTGCGAATATGTAAAGCAATAGATAAGCTGATAAAGATTGAAAGTGAATAGAAAGATAGGGCAAAAAGATTAACTTTTGTGCGTGCAACTGACCGTAAGCGCATCTAACCAAACCCTGCATTATGCGTAAGCTAAAGCGTATAATTACACATTTTATAAGCTATAATTAGCGAGACAAAAATACAAACAAGAACCTCGCTTTGGCCCCAGCATGCGTGGAAAGTCGAATCCCGACAGCTTGAATAACTCGTTCGGGCCCCATGAAATACTGGTGAGCACGTCTCAATCCCCATGCCCGGCCACGAGTTTCTATGACTCCAGTACCTTAGCCAACCTACCGGTCCCTTTGGGTTTATCGCGAACCGCTCGACCACGAGCTATGGTGTGTACGAGATCTGACCCGAACTCTGATATACGCACCGGGCACTAGGCTCAGTTGGGTGGTGCCGATACGGCATATATATAATGGTCCCGACCATGTAATGGACCGTATGAGGACACTGGGACCCCATCTTAGTCCCTACAGATGACATGCCTTTGCAGGCGATGTCATCTCGCCCGGCAGTAGGCAGCTAATAACCACTGGGTTGGTCATGGATGATTCTAAGTGAGGGCAACCATTGCCCCAGCGGCTGCTTTGCTCACCCCCTAGGATAATCTGTAAAGCCCACTAGCAGACTCGTGGCTTACACAATAAGTTAGAGGATCACGATAGTAATCATGATTTCTAATAGTTTAGAATTTGAATAGGGCGAGATGCAGGTGGTAGCAGTAACTACGAATGTCTGTCAGGACATTATAACTCCGTAAATAACTACGGGGTCGCGATGACCTTCATATTTCCTCTACTTAGGATAAGCTGTTGAAATTTGAGTGCGCGGGTATGCTGGACGATTGGCACCGTAATCATCCATAGGAGATTTCACTTGGCAAATCCTCGATGCAACAGGCGATACTACCTTAACATGGTACTCAGTGCCTTTAAGGAGCCTGCATCTTGGTCTAATCGGATCTTATATTACTTTCCTAAGGCGATTAACCTTATAGGCAAGTTTATATAGGCTTACTCACTCTGGAAATATGTACCTAAGTACACTTATAAGAAATTGGTTAGGGCGCGGCTGACCTCTAGCTGCGATGAGGTCCCGTCCTTGGGAGTACCAGACATTGACACAGACCATTGGTGCAGCTTCTGGCGACTGTATAATAGCGCTAGAAGTCGATTAGAGGCGACAACCTGCAGTAACCAGCATTGATAGAATGGGGGTTGTCACTTTCGGTGCACTAGGAAACCCTAGTGTCAGCGATTCTAAAATATAATTATTCTATCTATATTTTTGGCCACTGGGCGTCTTGGGTATGTCAAGGGCTCCAATGCATTCTTTTGGCAACCGGATGCCAGGACTAGTAGTTGTATCGCGGTCAAAGCTTTGCCTGATTCAACTAACTACCTAATAACTATTCGTGACTTCTAAGATACGGACACGGCAATTGAGCATTACAATTACTGCTAATCTGGCCGGGCGGAGAATAGAAGAGCTTACAGGACTTCTGGCGGCGTGTCGCGTCTAACGTGTTCGCTACCGACTGAGGAGACAACTGCCGGTATAATCACATATAAGAAACCTCTAAGCGACTAGTAAGAACCTATATTAGTAATCTGCGGTAACAGCTAATATGCGCTAATAGGGTCTGATCACAGTATTAACCTTGACTATTCACGACATGTAAACACAATCCAATGGTAGCAACTATCTACAGTATATGAAATTGTCATTTTACATTCTGGAATATAAGTTTGTAACCTTTATAGATAATTATGCTGAAGTTTGAAAACTCATAATTCCTCGAAAGTCGAAGGGAGAAATGCTTACACAAACCTATGATCGTATTAAAATTAGTTTGAACCAATTGACAACTTTTTGCTGAATGGGGGCTATGATTCTCTAGGAGAATTTAGCAAAACTAACTCCATAATAATACTCTCTGCGGCATGAAAGCGATACTGAAGTTAATTTGAATTTGGACGGCGTTTGATCGCGTGATCGGACGGGAAAACGGCCATTTCCTAGTTTCTTACTCTTTCGTGAAGATATACTTGGAAAATGATTCAATTAAAGTGAAGGGCTATATACTTAGGAGGTCGGTGGCGGGGAGCGCGACCGCGCCACCATAAACGCCAAAACACAGTGTGGCTTGGCAGTAGCGCCAAGATGCATGGCGCGGCGTGGCGCCAGTGCGGCCCAGGCCTCGTCTTGGCCCCTCTGCCTTTCGGTCCAGGTGCTCTCTGTTCATCCTGAGACTTTTCCCATATGCATCACACTCTAAAACTCCAGATATACGTACGCATCGTCAGGTCACGATACAACTTACGGGATGTAACATATTTATTCTAAGAACCTAAACAATATATATTTAATTAATATGTTTAAATTATTTAAATTTTAGTATATTCATCTTCATTTTCGATTTACCGTTAAATAAAAGTACGGAAGAAAAATATAAAACTTATGCATATAAGAAAATGTAAATATATGTAGATTTTTGGGGTATCAACTACCGGAGTTTGTACACTGAGGTCGTTTGATTATCGGGATGAGTTATTCTATAGGATTAATTTATCTCATCTTTATGAGACAACTAATCCTACCATTTCAATATAAAATGATTATGTCGCCTTTATGATATAACTAATCCCTGCCATTTCTTATAAAATAATTTTTGGGATTAATTAATATCCACCAATCAAGTGCGAAATAAAATAATTCGTATTTCATTTATGAATAATCAAGTGCCTATTCTTGGCCTTTTCCCGTTGTAACATCCACTCCTTCACAATTGATATGGGCTCATTGGGCTGTATTTGGTAATGCAAGTCAATGCAACTATCTATAACTTTTATGATGTTGAAAATCTATGAAGTTGTAGTGAGAAAACAATATATGATAAAATGGAGTAATTCATATCATAAAATAATATAAAAACAGAAACAATATATTGTAAGATCAATATAAAAAATTGTTAAGAGAGCAAGTGAAAAATTCCGTTAGGAGCGATGTTATCATAATAGATCATATAATGTGTGATTTAAATTAATTGGAGCTTTAATGCGAATATCAAATAAGGATAGAATATGAATATAAATATATATAAAAAAATTTTTTTAATTTTTTTAATTTTTTTAATTTTTTTAATTTTTTTAATTTTTTTAATTTTTTTAATTTTTTTAATTTTTTTATCTTTTTTGATTTTTTTAATATTTTTAATTATATTAGTTTTTTTTTGTTTTTAATTTATATGTTATATTTTATCTCGTTGTAACAACTTTTTACTTATAATAACAATAGTCATATTTTTAATAATACCTCCTTCCATTTATAACATCTATCTTTCTTTTTCGGTAACATAATAATTAATAAGTTTTATAGAAATAGAATCTCTAAGATTATCAATAACAGGCCAAATTTTTATCAAATATTTTAACATTTTAATACACTGTATAACAAAAAATATTGTATAAATATATATTATCATCATTAAAATATTATTCTTCTTTTATACAAATGTGATCAAATTAGAATTTGACATTAAATTTCTAAGTCCGTAACATATAAAAAATGAAAAAAATTCCTCATTTATTTAAGATTTTTCATCTCAATCCTTATGATTCCATTCGAAAAATTTACAAAAATGTGCACTCATATTTTAGTTCTTAATTACGAATTAAAGAAATTAAGTTTAATTATTTTTAACTAACAGCAACAAAGGGTCCATAGCTCAGTGGTAGAGCATTTGACTGCAGATCAAGGAATCACCGGTTCGAACCCGGTTTGGGCCCTCTTTGGTTTTTTGTTTTTGCTGTTCTTAATTGCAACTCAAATTGTTGTATAAATATTTCTAAAAAGATATATTTTTATTTGATGTGTTACATATAAATATACGAACTTTTTTTTAATAAGTTACTTAAATAAATTATAAATAAATAAATGAAGAATTTAATATTTATCACGAATTAAACGGGTTAAGCTATGATTCGATTTTAGCATTTTAGACCAACCCAATTAAGTCAAAATAACTTTTGACTGAATCAATCCATAATTTACATATTTGTTCACTCAACTCATTTTGACTCACACAAATTCAGTCCAACATGCCTATTTAACGATGAATATCGCTAATATACTAATTAATCTCTGGATATATCATATATAAACATATTATACCTTCTATCACGCTATTATTAAGTATTATATCAGCCAAGCATTACTAGCAACCACTTAACAATCTTTTAACAATATAGAAGCAATCAGGGCATTGATCTATGATTTGAAGTTTATGAATTCAGCGATTTTAAATTAGAAAAAGAAAAAATTAAGAGAGACAAAGTAAAGCCTATATGATTTTCGGGGGCTCGAGTTTTCGTCAAAGAAGGGACAACAAAGCTTAGATAGGTTCCATTTCCGTTGTTGGACCAATTGCCTACTAAGTAGTTAGGTTCCCAACTATTAGACAGTGTCCTACTTCTTGTGGCGAGTCCAATTCGTGCGCAGACATATGGTCGACTTACTTGTAATTATGAGTCCTAGTTTCGAAATGTTTCCGTGTATTTTATATGTCTAGTTTATATCTGGCAAATGAATGGGTTGGGCGGTCAAGTAAATTTGAGTTAATAATGAAGCGGATTATTGTCATTTCAAAGTTACTGAATTTGAAATGGGCTAAAATGTAGTCGTAACCCAACCGCCCCATCCTACAATTAGCATTTATTTATTTTGTTTGTTCTTTTATAATCTTTTGATAACTTATAAAATTAATATTTTCTTTATTATGACTAAATATAGCATATTAAATAAAATAAAATATCTTTTTTTAAAATTATTTTGACAAGATTTTTCAATAATCAATTTGGGCTAGATATCATCCCAAAAATTTGATGAATTGAAATTAGTTGAAATTTGAACTAATAAATGAACATATCAATTATCAGCAAAACTTGAGCAAATTCGATAAGTTATGACTTCATGAATTGATTTTACCATCTCTAGTCTAATTAACCTTCTGTTATGTCGATAAATACTCATATAATAAAACATCCCTCGTGTTCTATGATGGTATGTCAACGGGTGATAGCTCAGTTATGGTATGTCGCAAATAAACGAAGCATTATCAAGCTCGGTCATCCCAATTTATGATTTATCAATATTGGATTGTCATATTAAATTATTTGTGCTCCAAATGTCCAATCCTAATTTGTGGTTTAAATTTTTGTCCAGGTAGAATAAGGAGAATTTGGACACTTTATGAGGAACTGAAGCGTCACTCATATGCATGAATAGGCTTTTTAGAGTTTAGTTAGGCTCGAGGCTAGATTCTTATGGCGCATTTCATAGGCGGATGTAGTATAAATGTTATGGAGTTTGATTAAACTCGTAACTTTTAAGGCGAGTATAAATTTATGTGTAAAAATTTATCAAAATTATAATGAATATGAGACATGAACCACGTAAATTTTAAATCACGGATCCGCCTCTGTCATCTATGTCCCAAGCAGTTTGCTCATCCTTTATATCTCAAGTTGTTTTTCGACTATACAAATCGATTTATGGTATCAAATAGGCACCTCGAGCATGGTATCATGTAACACCATTCTTTTCATGTTGCTATGGGGTTGCATACAGGTGATAGCTCTATTTAGTCTTCCTGTTGTATCGATGAAATATACACAAATAATAAAATGCATGAGTTGCTTCTTGAGTCATTTACCTCGTGTTCGATTACCAATAATAATTTTTATATATATATCTAATGGATTTCTCAATATAAATACAAAATCTACATCCAAATTAGTGGGGTTCCAAAAACCTACACCCGATATCCTAGATTCTCCTCTGATATGAATATCTAACCATTTGTTATTGATAGAGATGGATTCAGAAATTAAAGTTTATGATTTTTTTTTAACGATCTAAAGTTAATATACATTAATAATTATACTTGAGGTCATAAAAGTATCTATAAACAATTAATGAATTTAGACAAAAATATTGAATTCACATGAATACATAATTTATAAGCTATCGACCCGTGATTATATAATCATAGACTACGATATTAAAAAAAGAGTTTGTTTTCTATGAAAGAAGCATATATACCTTTAGCATACAATATATATGATAGAAATTCAAGCCCATTTAATTTAAGAGTTTGTTTTCTAAAAAAATCGATTCAATATAATTGATTGTCCATTTATGATTATGTTATATATCGATAATGAGCAAGCTAATATTTATGAAAGAAAAAATCTAATTTTTATACTAAGCTAAAACAAAATCATACACATAGAGAATTAACTCATTGTATGGCCAAAGAGGAAAGCGGACCACGTCAAAACCACACTATGGCTGAATGAGCCGAGGATCTTTTTAATTTTTAATTAGCGATCTCGGGTTCGAGATTTTAAGAATAAAAATATTCACATAAGAAATACTTTCCTCTTTAATAAACTTTATATAACATATATTCGAACTAGTCTAGATTCTAATATAAATATCCAAAAAGATATTGAGGAATCTCAACCCCAAGACAACAAAAGAAAAAGATCAGGTGTGTTCGGTATGGAGAAAAATAGTTTCTAATTTTTCATGTTAGATTAGTCAAAAATATTTTTACATAAAAAGCGAGTTAACAAAATAAGAAAAATGGCGGCCGAGGCGTTCTTTGATTGGGCCCTCTCCACACACAGCCAAGCACCTCTACTTCCACCCCTACGTAACTCCACTGCATAGTATACATGCAGATTATATACGAATACGTTTAAAATAATATATTTTTTTTATGTATTAATTATGTTTTATAATGTTTTAATTTAAAAAAAAACGAAACACACATGTACGTCGAATTGGTTTACAACTATTATGAGAAAGTGAAGCAATGCATTGACATTTTAGTTAAGGAAAACAAATAGGATGGCAACTAATTAACGTATCTCTCCGCATTCAACGCTACCTAATTCCTCAATCTATTTCAACATAAACAAATATCAACAAAGTGAAAACAAACTTTTTCTAAGGACCAAGAAAAAAAGAAAGAAGTTTATGTTAAGCATAATCGATCGAATTCTTGTTTATTTTCTTAATCGATATATATAGATGATATACTAATTATATAATATTATATGCATATTATACATAGATTATGGGTGTGTTCGGTATGAAAGACATGTTCGGTTAGTTAAAAATTTTTAAAAAATATCTTCTTTAAAATAAGATTCTTGAAAATAAGAGAAATAGTTTCTCACAATAAAAATAGAGAAAACAAGTCTCGCCTACCCGCCTCCACACTTATCATAATTCCTCGTAATTTTAGAAAAATATTTTTTTATTTATATATCGGGCCATGAGAAAAATAAATATAGAAATAACTTATTTTTAAAAAAATATTTTAAATGCTGAACACCTTACTATATATATATATCTATCGACTATTTTAAATTTATACAATTGAGTAAATAACTATTTTGAAAATAATTCATGTTTTTGTTGTACAAAAGGGGAACCAAGATTTGAAGAGCAAGATTAGGCAGGATGATGCAACACATCACAGTGCACTTTTTGTGAATATCTGAGTCCTCTCACATGTGCAACATATGATCAAGAATTGTCCTAGAATCTAAGATTGAGTTATTAGAATATAGTGATCGCAATAACATATTTGATGTGATTTTATAAGTGAATGTGAATAAAAAATATGAAACATTAAACTGAACAATTAAAAAAATTTAAAACTTCAAAAAAAAAAAAACGATAAATTATTTAAAATATTAAAAATTTAAAATACTATAAATATATAATTTGATAAATTCCAACAACAAATAAAAAGTTCTTTTTTAAAAACTAAATATTTTATATATTTGGATATTTCTTAATCTTATTATAATGAAATGTGTTATTTATTTGAATATGTTTTCTTGTTACAACGAAATGCTGTTGTAAAAAATATATAATTTAGTATGGCATAAAAAAATTAAATCATTATAATAAAATGCTATTGTAGAGGAGTACGACCAATGCGTATCTTGATATTTATATGACATTTCAACTTTCTATAAGTATTATTTGGATAATATGTTTTGACACTCTTGCGGATACCAGAAAATAAGCAAAAGGCCCTTATTTTTCTAAAAATAATAGTGAAAAATATATTTGGAGTATCATGATTTTTGAGTTTTAGGCGCAAATTATTGAGTATTTTTTTATACATGAGCTATTAGTAAAACACACCTCAACTGCTCAGTTATTCTCTTTTATACAGGCGATAGTAATATTTCGGTACATAAAGGGAAAAGCCCGATGGATTGAGGTATGTTTCAATAAACATTTGGTGATAGTTCGGGTAGAAAATTCGCATACACGATAGTTTGAGATATAAAGCTAATCAAAATAAATGACTTTAATATATTTTTTCTTCCTTCTTTGGGAACTAAAATATTGATTTCAAATTCGATACAACTCAATAACTAGCTAAAAACTTTGTATTTATATTTAAAAATATTATTTAATTCAAAATTCAAAAAACAAAAAAAATAAAAAAAATAAAAAAAATCATAAATTTTAAATTTTAAATCCGTCCCTAAAAATATGTTTGAGTAATAAACATTATCATTAAAAAATCATTCATTAAGGGAGAATGTTGGCAATCAAGAACTTTTGAATTGAAGCTTCCTTAGCTTGATATGATGTGCTTCATATAATAGAATAATTTTATGAATGATCAATTTAATTTTATTTTATTTCATAAAAAATATGAAAAAATTAAAAATATTTTTATAATTTAAAAAAAT